GCTTAACGGTTTGACGATTTTGGAGAAGTCTTTGATGAATCACCAGTAGAATCCGGCCTGACCAAGAAAACTTCTGATTCCTTTGACATTGACTGGTGGTGGAAGTTCCATAATGACTTCAACCTTTGCTTTATCAACTTCAATGCCCTTGGAAGAGATTTTGTGACCAAGAACTATGGCTTCAGTCACCATGAAATGACACTAATACCAATTCAGAACCAGATTTATTTCAATACACCGCTTTAGTACGGTGTCCAAATTTTTCAGACAATGATCAAATGAAGGGCCAAACACCGATAAGTCATCCATGAATACTTCGATGTACTTCTCAATCAAGTCAGAGAAAATAGCTTGCATACACCGCTGGAATGTTGCTGGAGCATTACACAATCCGAAAAACATCCGTCTATACGCAAAAACACCAAAGGGACAGGTAAATGTTGTCTTCTCATGGTCTTCAGGATTAACTATAATCTGATTGTACCCCGAATAACCATCCAAGAAGCAATAAAACTCTTGACCTGACAATCTTTCTAGCATTTGATCCATAAACGGTAATGGAAAATGGTCTTTTCTGGTGGCTTTGTTCAATCGCCTGTAGTCTATACACATCCTCCAGCCTGTGAATGTTCTTGATGGAATCAACTCATTCTTGTCATTTGTGATCACCGTCATACCCCTTTTCTGTGAAATGTGGCATGTCCCCAGGCCAATTAGCATTAGTCTGAAACTCTGGAGGGGTCATCATCTGCTCCTGCAATTGCATCTTGGATGAAGCTGCTGGTGCTGATGATGATGATGATGTTGTTGATGAAGCTGCAGCTGATGCTGTTGATGATGATGAGGCCACACAGAGTGAGGCGGAAGATGATGATAATGCTATGTCTAGCACAGTTGCTGTTGCATCTCCATGAGCTTGCTCACATTCTCCTCCAAATTGGAGTTTTGGTTTTGTTGAGGAGGTGGCTGGTGTAACTTTTATATTGCTTTTGCCTATTCGATGATCCAACATCCTGTCTCCAACCTCGACCATAGTTTGAGTTATTCCCTCTCTGATAGCCAGTGTTGTTTTGATACTGACCTTGTCTTGGTTGGTTACCCATATAATTCACCTCTTCATTTGTAGGAGGACAATAACCAGTTGGATGATCTCCAGTACACAACTTACAGTATGCAACTTGCTTAGCTTTACTTGACCCTTCCTGTAGACTGATCAATTTAGACATTTGTTTTGAAAGTTCTTCCACAGTGTTTGTAAGAAGCTTGTTCTGAGCCAACACATCATCCGATGTATCAAGTTCAAGAATTCCTGGCTTTCTTTGTGATGGATTCCTGTTGTATTCACCTTGTCGATCACTAAGTGCCATCTTTTCAATGATTGCTGTTGCATCTGCAACACTAAGTGACAGTAGTGAACCACCAGCTGTGGCATCTAACAAAAGCTTTGATTGTTGAAGCAATCCGTTGCGGAAGATGTGGATCTGAGTGAGTTCATCAAAGCCATGATTAGGGCACTTCCTTAGCATGGACTTGTATCTTTCCCAAGCTTCACATAGTGTTTCATTTGAACCTTGGGCAAATACCGCAATCGTTGTCTTGGCTTCCATGAACTTGTGGTGCGGAAAGAACCTATCAAGAAATTTCTCCTCAAGAGTGTTCCAATTGGTCATGATTGGAGTAGGTTGGTCAAGATATCAATCCTTTGCTTTACCAATTAATGAGTGCGGGAACATTCTCATAAACACTGCTTCTTCTTCCGCTTCAGTGGCTCCAAGTGAACCAGCAATCTCATAGAATTTCACAAGATGATTGTACGGATCCTCATGAGATAAACCTGCAAAAGGGTTAGCATATAAAAGCTGGAGAAGTCCAGTTTTCATCTCAGTTTGCCTGGCACCCCTTTGTGGTCTTGCAAGGTGAGCTAACCGTCTTGGACTGTTATGGCA